ATTGATGAAACCGTTCGGGACACCCCACCTACCAACTGGCACAGGACCATCTACAGTAGATGGCTGTGGGTCAAAAATAGGTACCCAAAATGGAACCCTTGTAGAAGGAAACAAGGACTAAAACCTGCGGTCCCCTGGTGGTTTAATTTTGACCCACAGCCAGATGGCTCACTTTGCTTTCATTCAGATCTGACGCCTGGAAGAGGACCACGGGTGCCTTCTGAACGCCATGGTGGGCTACACGGATGCCAGCAACCAGCAGGCCTTCTGCGACAAGTGGCAGCTGAACCAGGCGCGCCGAAAACAGATGGAGTCCCATGAGGATAGGGTGCCAACTCATTGTTGCCGCACTGTTCTATGTGCTTCTTTGTAATGCTAGGGGACAGGTAAAATGCTCCTTTGTTGCGCACATGCCATAAATCTTCCGGGGCTTAGGGATGTTTCTCGAGGGTGTCCAATCCTGGAAACATCTGTTGGAAGCATTCAGAAGACATGTCAGGCTGATTTGCCTTCGGGGTGCTTTTTACATCATCCGGCCTGATTCATGGAGCGCACTGACGGAAAGCATAGGCAGTAACAGCACGTATCGTGTCGATGAATCTGTCACAAACGGTTTTTCTTGTCGGCAATTCCTCACACAGTTTTTTTTGGGGACTCAGAGGCGGTAGGCTTCCTTGCGCAGCGCAAGAAACGGTCCGCTTTGCTCTACGACACCAGTCCATCATGCGCCTCATCCGGGACCAGCAGAACCGGCTCTACACCGAGCCGGGGGCCTAGCATTGAAGTCAAGGAAAAGCGGGCCGCGCACATCGTACTTCCCGGCAAAACAATCTGCAAACATTCCGTTTTGAACCCCGTACCCATGAATCCAGTCGAGGATTATGAAGGCAACGTCTCCAATGGGAACGGCAAGTCGTAGGCTAAAAGCAAACTATTTTGGTGCTGGGGATAAGTTGAATCCACTGGCCCCATTTGAGAGCAACACATTTCCGGCTGGGTGCTGGCAACGCTCTGGATGCCATTTCTGCGGGAGTTGTTTCTTCGTGCTCTTTCTTCGCTGATGTAAGACTAATAGCAACAATCTTCACAAGTGCATTCGGATAGGTCGAAAGGACCAAGCAGGTTAATTGCAGAGACGGGGCAGTTCAGCAATTCAACTGAGCAGCTTCCAAAGTGTCTGCACACCAGTATCAGCTGCACGTTCTGCAGACAGGGGGAGAGTTGCTTTGTTGCCGTGCCGAAAGCTGGGTGCAACCTGAAACCAGGGCGAAAAGGCCAACGTGGGAAGTCCAGGCTGAGCAGCAACGCTGAATGTTTTGCGACTCAGCGGCCTCTTGGCACGAGCTTGTCTGCAGGTGCATGGGGTACAATCCTTTTGCGCCGTTGCATAGCCAAAGAAATGGTCCACTGGATAGTATCAAATACAAGCAGCCATGCGCAGATGTGTTTATACTACAGAAGCCCCACCAAGAACTCCAGCTTGCCAGCCTCTCTTCATAACCAACGTGACCAGTACCATTTTTTGACGACGTAGTCACGTGTTTTATATATATATATATAGGTATTTGTTTCCATTGGCTAGTCATGACAACTTCTCTGTCATTTCTCATGATATTTCTTGAGCCTTGACCCGCCCCAATCAAATCAACATCGAACCCCAAGACGGGAACCCCAGAAAGACTCCTCTAAAATTGGATGGCTTTCTGGGTTCCGAGTTCTGCAGGGAAGTTGGTATGGCTGGGTGCGTCCGTGAGGTGCCAAGAGAACAAGACCGACTCTTTCGCCAACCGCCACCGCGGCAACTTCCCGCTGCTTATGGCCACTCCGCGCGAAGGGCATGGGAGTTGGCGCGTTTGTTTTGGCTTCCGGCAGAAGTGGGTCCCGCCAGGGTCCCTTCATATCCTTTTTGGTACCTTTTGGGGCAATTTCAAGTGAGCTTCCTGCAAGTGAAATGATGTTTCAAGCGGACATATACGGCTGAGCTGATTTCAACCAAGGGCTTTCGCAGGGATTTTAGGATGTTATTGTGCGGGACCAGGACTTGTGAGTATCAGAGTAGCCCCTCACCAATCCTCCCTCAGGATTCCCTTCGAAGATACATCATGGTTCGCATCAGTGAGGGCCACAATGATTTGAAAGGCGAATGATGTCCCATCAGGTGCTCTCCCAGTCGTGAAGATACCTAAATCGTGAAAGCATTGCGCGACCTGTGGTAAACAGGGCTGGGGTTCAATGGGAGGCCCTATCAACAGAAGTGTTGGCGGGAGCTATGAGTCAAAGTGCCTGACGAATGTAGCAAGCACATACGAAACAACAGATGCTTGTGGGGAAGCAATTGCGCGATGACAACTGGGAGAGCAGCTTGCATCCTTGTTTCTCCAAGACAAAGAAAGAAGGCCAGGAGACAGAACGAAAGAGAGCGAAAGAGAGAGAGAGAGAGAGAGACAGATAGAGCGGCGCGAGAGAAACAGAAAGAGAGAGAGAGTGTTACTGTTTTGCTGTGCTTGAGCTATCGGTTCATGATCGAATCGGAACCCATGATTTCGGCCTTCGTTTTCAAAGCACTCGTCTCAAGCCCTTCTGAGCTCAATCCGATGGCCCCTCCGAAATAGAGCCAAAGGCAAGGCCCCGGAAGAGCAAAAGCCGCTCCAAGGCGGTGCTTTGCGCGGGCATCTTCCCCAACGTTGCCCGCCGGAACGGAGGCGCAAGGGGGGAGGGTGAATGGGCCGGTTTCTTTTTAGTTTTTAATCGAAAGCCAGTCAAGTGGTGACAATGACAAGAGGGACTCCAAACAATCCTTCAAATCCGGCGAATCTCATGCAGGGGGTCTTGATCCTATGCTATGCGCCCTGGGAGATTGCCTCCTTGAAGCAAAATGCGGGCACAGGCCTTGCCCGCAGCCCGGCGAGGCTGAAGCTGTCCTTACTACTTGTGTCTGTCTGTTGAGATGATCAAACTGGGGACGGAGTAGCATTCGCTTCTCATAAGACATCTTTACTGACTAAGCACGATCTCCAATTGTCTCGCGGGGAACCTGGAAGCAACCACTAAGACACAGAAGGGTGCGACCCATGACAACATCCTATGAGCAATGAGTCCTTTCATATTGCAAGCTTGGTGGAGGCCTTCAGTCAGGACAGTCCTGTTTTGCATCACTTGGTTGCCTTCAACCCACCACATGACCATTTCCTCTTTTTTTTAATGTTTATCGTGTCTTTTTGTTGGGTGGGGGGTGGGTGGGGGTGGAGTTTGAGACCTACCACTATCCTTTTCGCTCTCTCAGTCGATGCCTCGGCCAGGCTCGGACTTTTTTGAGGCCCAGGGCGGCAAGGTGGAGGCGCGGAGCGTGCCACAGTCTCTGTGGCAATGGCCATGAAGCGCGGAAATCCCAGGATTTTCGGGGCCGTAGGATGCCGAGGTCCCCCAGAAGTGCCCTTTTACCCTTTTTTGGGGGAGGGTTCCCCTACAAAATATACTACAGAACAAAGGGAACCTCTATTCTAACCTCTCTACTGGAGGACCTAGATGCAGAGTAGTGACTCTGCAGACGTCTCTGTGAGGCGGCAAGGACACGGAGGCCTTTGTTTTGTTCCCTCGACCGGCAAATTGTCGTTGCATTGCATTTTGCTTCGTTGATGGTTCTCAAGGTGCCATGCCAGCACCTTATCACCCCACCACACCTACACACCGAATCACGCACAGAGCCTTGGGCATGTCTCCAAAGCGCTCCCAGCCGCAGGCCCACCACTCACCGCCCCGTGCTGCCAGCCCCGCGCCCCGCGCAGGCGCGGCCTCACGGCACTTCCGCGTACGTGCCCAGCGCGCCGAACGAGTGGGTCCTCTTCCAGGAGCTTTCGCAGGCCGCCAAACCAGCAAAATGGACTTGCCTTGGGAAAACTCCCCTCAAAAATAGTGGTCGCCCTTTTGGCATTCCTTTGTTTTCCTTTGGTTTGGGACACCCAACTGCCCCAGACCTTGGTTTTTTTTTTGGCATTCGTCGGGGAATCGGCGAGGTTTGTTGGTTGCACCTTTGAAAGCGAGCGCAGTACAGGAGCCACGTGCTGAGTTGAAAAGTCCTTTTTCAGGGCCTGGCCAAGGGTGCCTCTGAGGTTCCCTGACGTAGCTGTTCCGCCCATGGTGTTTTTGGAAAGGATTGAAGGCAAAGGAGAGAATGCCGCGCGTTTGGGGCTTCTTTCTTTTACATGCCACGCCTGCTAAGCGTACTTTCGAGATCCTGCCTATCGGGGGCATGAGTCCCTGAGATCAAGCAGCTGGTTTGCACAGTCTGCAGTTCCTTTCTTCAAGGTGCGCCGTGTCTAGAGCGCCCGGGCCAAGCCAATGGAGATCCTTCAGCTTTGGGTGCAACTGCTCCAGCCGTGCACACCCCACATGTGGCAGATGGAGAGCAGCTACCGCATGAAGCTGGTGTCTCCAGTGACTCCGCTGCAGCGGGGAAGCCTGGTAGCTGTGTGACTGCATTGGATGGGGGAGTTGAAGAGTCGTGCGGACGCCATGCCCAGCCACAGCCACCTTTGCTCCAGAAAACTTGGTCATTTCAGGGGTTCAAGTAGCAACTTCTCAAGAACTTCAAGGCAAAACAAAAAGCAACCAAGCAACCAAACACATACAGATCAGACAGAACTAAATCAACAGCGAATCACAACAATTGCCAATCTATCAACCCTCCCACCAGCTAGCATGGAAGTCCGCAGAAGCCCTTTTCGTTAGGACAGTAGAAAAAGGGTTTGCGGACTTCCATGCTGGTTGGCGGGAGGGTGCCAATCACACACTCAGAGATACTCCACGAGCCCTTGGGTTTGGTCATCTTAGCGTCCGGCGCTAGGAATCCAAACTGAAGATGTGCAGCCACTGATCCGTTGTATCTTCAACCCCCAAAAGCAGCATAACAAAACCAGTTTTGTCACATCACCAAATAGCGATGCACAAATTATAAACCAAGTACTTGAGGGAAGCATCGACATTTGCAGAGGCTTTGCCACCTTGACGCTACCTGCGCAGATGCGTCAAATTGCTGCCTTGCAACCCATCTCAAATTGAGCTTGGACATGTGGCAGTTCCATTTGTTTCACACAATTTCCAGCTAGTTTATGCAGCTGAAATGCCGATGTGTCACTTTTCCAAGTCATGTGTGTATTAGCTGAACTGTTTATTTTTGCCGGACTCCCTTGCTCCTATAAACACCGACTCTTAGCGAAACGTCCTTCATTTCGGAGGTGTAGGTTAGTCTCTCATGCCGGGCGACATGTTGGGCTGGCAGCTGCCTCAGGATGCTGCTGCTAGGAGGGCAAGGGCCACTCAAGAAGGAGGGCAAGGCCGGCATGGGGTCAGGCTCTGATTAATTTTTGCCGAGGGTAGCCAATCCCTGGGAAATAAGGTTCTATTTCAATTGCTGTAAGGTGCGTGCTCTTTGCATGGAACAACATGCAGTTGTCCAAGGTGGCAATGTTGCGTGCAATGCCAAGCTTGTCCCAAGGCGTCTCCTTTTTGGTTTGAGCCGGCCGGGCCGGCCAGGTGTTTTGCAAACCCCCCCCCATACAGGTAGAGTCTGTTGGGGGAGTCGCATGCAAGATAGTGTTTCATATTGGCAGGAATCTCCAGCCAGATTTCCGTGTTTGATATGATTGCAGGCAGGGTGACTGTGTATATACCTGCTGCTTCATCTATGTTGGAACGATTCTAGAAGCGGAAGCCCTTTTTGACAGCGCAGATGCGCCCGTGCACATCACCATGTGCCATGCGCCGGAAGTTGAGGGATGCTGTTTGGTATTGGGTTCTCGGAATGAGCAAATGGCAGAGGCGGCAAGTTACAGATGACTTGATCAATGGGCAAGGATGAGGCTTCTCAGCACCAGCCATTTGTTTCAAGAGCAGCGCTTCTGTGTGTGTGCGTGTGTGTGTAAGAGTGTGTGTGCGTGTGTTTGTGTCTCTCCGTGGGCGCGTGTGCGTGTGTGCGGGCGCGCCACTCTCGCTGTGTTTCAGAACTCCCTTTTGCTTAGTTTCAATGGGAAGCCCATTTTTTATTTTATTTTTTGAGAACAAACAGTTCGAACTTTGGTGGCCAATCACTCAGGAAGTGAAACTTCCTTTTCCCAAACATAGTTCTTGCTCCGATCCTCATTAAAGTTCACAGAGAAGTGGGCCAATGCATATACCTTCTTAGTGATCACCAGAATTCCCTCACCATAACCTCTAGCAGGGTCGCAGATAATTCAATCATAGGATGAAATCTTGTTACCTGTGTTGGCTGGGGACTGGCGACACACAGATCCCGCACGCGAAGAGCGGAGCATCGCCAGCAATGTGACGATCTCCCTTTTGTGCAAGTGGGCTTCTCCGACCGATGCAAACAGATGCAAAGGGTAGTGATTGGAGCAGATTAAGCTCCGAAGGGTTTGCCCTGAAGACCCAGACATATGCAGCTGATTTTCCAGCTTGTGGGCCAGGGTACCTGAAGCAGGCAGGCATCTCCATATTGCATGCCTCTTTCTTGGGACCCAACATTTGCAGTACGTAGGAACAGTGAAGTCCGAAGCTGGCGCTCCCATGCCATTTGCACGAGCCAAGTCTCCTTGCCCGTTTTCTTCTCAAAGATCTTGCCAGGGCGGTGGCAAAGGCCAAGTCTCAGCCGGGAGCCGTGGCGGTGTTTGGGGGTTGGGGCTGAAGTTTGTTGGTTCTGAGCGGACTGACCTAAGAAAGCACCGGGGACCTGCACTGCCAAGGCTTGCGTTGCTGTTTTTTTTGTGAGCCACGGAAGGAAGGGGATCCATTGCCAGGATCTCCATGAGGGAGGGCTGCTTCTGGATTTGCCAAAACATTTCTTTGTGGACATTGCACACAGGTCCACCGTGGTCCACCATAAACTTCTCCCAGCCCGGGCACCGACTGATGCGTGAATGGCGGGATTCATGCTTTCCCTTAGCGCAGTTTGAGGTGGCTCACTTGGAACCAAAAGCGCATGACGGGCATGTGGTCTAGTTGAATGGACACAGGACGCTGTCAATGCGAATGAGCAAATTGTTATTCAACACGACATCAGCCGCTGCGCATACAGCGCATTTGAAAACTTGTAAGTAGAGAAGATATCCCCGAGGGAAGTCGATCTCCTTGGTTTGGCCACGAGTTTTGCTGCTGGACAGATCATTTAGCTCCTTATGGCTGGTCGCCACCAATTACATTCTTGGCTGTGTGGCACTATGCAGGAGGGTAAACATGCTTGTCAGTGCACTTCCTAGTCTCGCATGTTTCGCCAGCTTTCCTTGACATTTGCAGCTAATGTGCTGTGGGTCTCAACAGCCATGGCAGCTTGTTTGTTCGCTGTCATGGACAATCTGCTGTCACCTCAGGACTTCCTGCAGCCGCGAATCATGAAGAATCCGACAAAATGTGGTTGTGCAGGATTTGTTCATGTGTCTCATGGAAGGCTTTGTGACTGTTGAGCACCTGCCGCTGGTTTGGCAACTGGTTGGATTGACACAGCTCGCGGTTTATGCACTTGTTCAATGCTCGAAACATGCCCAAAATCAGCCTGGAACAGGTGGCAGTTGGCAGGACAACTTCATTGTAAACCCATGCGCTGTGTTGGAACACGTGTCCAGTCCATTGGCTTGATTGTTTGATGCTGATCTGCATCTTCACTCAGTGAGTGCTCTTCAACAGCTCCGCCAACGGGATTTCAGCTGGGTTGGGAGGGGTATTTGAAGACCTGCATCACCCTTCACACCCGCCTGTTTCATGCCTCGACTTTGGGCTTCGCCTGTTCCAAAGCAGGGAGGAACACAACAGGACCTGCTCCGTGGAGACGCGAACAGCCGCACCAGGTGTCGCTGCTGGACGGATGGGTCAAATTCCGCACCGATGAGGCGACCGCCGACCAGGTGCCGGGCTCAGACGGGGATTCCGAGGCGCGCGCTGGAGGCCATGGCCAGTGCCGATCAGGAAGTTGGGCCACGTTCTGTTTGGAGAATCAAGGTCATGGAGCCGTCCACGCTGCGGGACCAAATAGCCTACGGGCTTCATAAAGGTACTGGATGAATGCTCCCACTATTTCATGGTGCTAAAACCTGTTAAGAATAGCAGACCAGCTCGAGACTAGCCATATTCCTGGTCCCTTACCTTCAATGCTCCGGATGACTTCCCGCAGAAGACATGTGAGCTCCGCAACCTTGGCGAGGTGCAGAAAATCCGGGCCGCGCTGCAGACCGCCTTTCAGAGCTTCTGCCTGGAGCTCGTGGGACTGGCAGATGTGGGCCCAGTTGGTTTTGCATCAAGGGACACCGGTACTTCGCGGCGTGTGGTGTTCAAGTTGGACCTTCTTTTCAGGCAAAGGGCGACACCGCGCATGTATCACGTAATGAGCCAACATTTGCTTCTTCTTTTTTTTTGGGGGGGGGGCTGCCTCCTCGGGGACGATTGCCGGCAGTGATGTCCTTGTTGTGGGATTTGTTTCTCCCTCCTAAAATTGAACGGACGCACAAATGCGGAGACTGGAGTGCATGGCACATGTCTGCAACTGTTCGCGGATCACAACATCAGTCCCTGGTCAGTCCAATGCCTGTGGTACTGTCCGTCAGGAAAGGGGGCTACACAAATCACACAGATCGCACTTTTCTTTGTCGTGTAGTCTCCAAAGCAGGATGTTTGGGAAGAGCGCGGGTGAGCCTACGATATCCCGAGTCACTTCCTCGATGTTTTGGCTTACCTCATCGAATCTTTGCGCTTGGCTGTTGCATGACATCGCTAGCTGGCAGGCGCCAATCCCGACAAGATCCCCAGCCAAGTGACTCTCACAATACTAGACGAGGCAAGGCAGCCGACGGGAAGAGCTGGAAGGGCTAGCGGCAGCTAACAAAGTGTAGACTTGCTGAGTGTACATGTTGTTCTTGTTTTTATGTGAATGATGTGTTGTTGTGGTTTGTTCAGTTCTTAGCATCTGCTTGTCTTGACATGGTGCCACTACAGTTGCGGCTTGCCTTCGACTTCATTCAAATTTTCACATGATAAGAACAAGCATGGCTAGGTGGCAGCAAGCATGAAGGCAGTTTATCAGCATACCCTGAGCGAAATGAGGTACGTGAGCAATCAGAGTCATAGTAATGTGCTCCTTTTCCAAAGACGGAGTCGTCTGGATCAATCAAGGAGTGTCCCACCTTTGTTATGTGGATGATCGTGAACCCTGTGACACGGCCGGTTTGCTTCACGCTCTAAGAACGCACGGCTTTCGGGACCGTGTTTGACGAGTCACTTGAACAAGGCTCACTGAAGAAATGCGAAACGTCGAGCCACAGCCTTTGCGAGCACGTTTGTCTCTAGCGCATTTGGTTATCCCCTTTGAACCCATGGCCACTGGGCATGCAATCGCATGTTTTCATGGATACTACTCCAATAGATATGGAGCCATAGCAGTGGGAGCCACAACAGCCCCACAGTGACTAGTGACCGGCAGCGGCCATTCCCTTAGGCCGCGACAGCTCCAGCTCGAGATTTGCGCTTGATTAGATGCTCAAGCTAGTATCATGGTCTTGGCGAGTGTGTGCCCAGAAATCCGCACAAGACATGGTTTCACAGCTGCGCCTCAGAGGTTGCAAAAGCGCTTGGCTCAGACTTTAACCGCACTACCTGCGGCTGGGCCTTGAAGTTCTGGACAGTTTTGCTGCTTGGGAATTCAGACGGCTTGCAATGCCCTGGCACGCCAGAGTCTTGTTGCCTTCAACAATCGGCCGTCTTTGGCCTTTGAGGTATGAGGTAGGAACGCCTTCCGCGCAGAAAGGACATGTTGAGTCTGAAGTTCGCGGCGCGATGCTTCGCCTGATTTCTGCATCTCAAACGAGAGGCGCACAGATTTTCTTACACACCGTCCCAGTCACTCGGGGAACAGTCCTGGTGAAACTGCAAAACAACTCGCGCCCAAGTCAGACCGGAGAACAGGCCTGCTTGAACCGACTCCCCAGGCAGCGTACTTCCCAAGGCGCCACTCCAGGCATGACATATTTTGGGCCTCACGGTTTTGCGCCTGGACATCGGGAGATTCTAGGCAAAGATGGCTGCAAGCTGGTGGCACAGTATCACAGGAACCCCGAACTCCAGTCAGATATTCACCAAACCTTCCCAGAAAAGGCTTTCCGCATCCGTCATGTTGCTTCCCAAAACAGGGCTGTGAGCAGGAGCAATGTCCCTTTGCAGGTGGCTGCCTTGCTTGGCGAAGCCAGCGGAGACTCGATTCGGAATTGAGGGGCAATCCGAGAGTTCAGGGGCCAATGTGTTTTTTTGGTTTCCTTTGCCAGCGGTCATAGAGCTCAAGGCCCTGTTTTCTGAGGAGTTGTGTTTTAGCGACTCACAAAGCTGTTGGTTGATCCCGCCTGATGCGCTGGGACGACTGTTGCTCAAAGCTGTCATATTGTCGATGCTCCGGATGATGAGGAGAGCAGGCAGTAGGTTTCTTCACAGATTTTGAAAACTTGGCACAACTTATTGCTCTTCCCAGAGTATGGACCCCCAAACTTTCTCAAGATCCCTGGAGGTCTGTATCCACCTTTCCATCAAGGTCAGATGTTGTGACCGGTTTTTTCATGGCCACCGGTCATCACAGCAGCAAGCAACATGATTCCTTTTTCGGAGCCGCAGTGAACTGTCGGCTCATTCCTCTGGCACCCTGACTCCTCCTTCTTCCCCTCTACTGTCCAGGGTTTGTTCTGCTGTGGCAGAGATGGCCCAGAGACTGTCTACCACTTCTGACTTGCCCCGAGATGATTTGGGATCGGCGGATTGGCGGGTTGGCAGCATGTCAGGTGTTTGCTGGAAAATCGGGATGTGTCAGCCCAAAAATATGAAGCTCTGACGCCATCCTTCCCTTGGAGTTTCTTCCCGTGCGGAACTGGACTCGACAAGGACTTGGATTTGGTGGGAGTTGTCATTTATTTGAGATAGCCCCCCAGCCCTTGGTTTGGCTTTCGGGGAATTCAAAGCACAAAAAATAAATGCCAAGTACTGAAGGCATTGCTTCGGCCTCAACTGGCGCAAACATAAGCAATCTCAAGATGCTTTGGTTTCTCGCGCTTCGGTCAGTTCCACTCGACTCTGCTGCTGAGGAGAGGGTGCCACTGGCGTGTGGGCTCTCAGGGCCGGATTGCGAAATCCGGCCATGAGGGCGGCTCAGAAGGGTTGACCCAGGGCACAAGGTTATTCTTTCGTCTGGAGAGCATCAGCCCGAGGTACATGTAGCAAAGTGCGGGGGCAAAGGTTCCCTGACGGGCACGGACTGCTACACTTGATGGGGACTTGGTCGTCTTTCTGTGCAGCTCAATGGCCATTTGACCCGACGTCTGGTTTCCTTTTGGAGTCTTGTTGAAGGGATAACACGAGCAACATCTGCTTCATCTGGAGCTTTATATTTTTGACCATTTACCATCATGTCCATGAGAAACATCAAGCAAACGGAGGTTCCCCATGTCGTTCAGTAAGCTCTGAGCATAAGCGTGCGTACGCATGCACATAAGTTTAGTACATATGCAGTGCATGGCTTTTCTCCGCACAATTCCAAAATCGAAACCCCTAAGGTCACATCCCCGAGCTTCTCAAACTAAGATTGAGGGTGACGGCCGTCCACAAGGCAAGCCAACAACGTCTCGCTCTCTCTCTCTCTCTCAGTATGTATACATACATGAACGTGTGTGTATATATATATATATATGTATATATATATATATATACAAGTATACATATGCATTTGACATGATTTGTCACACACACACATATATCTAAGTGTAAATGTGTATGTATGTGTATAATATGTATATATATATGGTCACCCCCCCTGCATGACCTACCGTTGTCTTTCAAAAAGTCGTTGGGGACCATTAGCAGACAATAAACAAGTGAAAAAACACCTGTGTTTTTTTATGGTTTTCGATTAACAAACAACACAGTCAACCATTGAAAATTAAGAAAAACCAGTGTGTTTTGATGGTTTTAGCAAAACAATGTGCAAACACCCATGTTTTTTTTAGAAAAAAACAGGACAGCATTCAAAAAAGCAAGTGTAAAAACTGATATGTTTTTCAGATAGATCCCTAAGTCAAAAACTAAGAATTCCCTGGGTTTTTGATGGTTTTGCAGTAAAACCTTCAGAATTCCTTGGGTTTTTAGCATTTTTCACATAAAACCAAGAAAACCTCGAGAAAACCAAGAATCCAAGAATCCAAGATTTTCAGGTAGATGTTTGGTCCACTACAAAATCTTGGATTTTTGGTTTTCTCGAGGTTTTCTTGGTTTTCTTGGTTTTACTTGGGAATTCTTGGATTTCCAGCAAAAAACCAAGAATTACTGAGTTTTTTTGGAATTCCAGCAAAAAACCAAGAATTACTAGGGTTTTTGGATTTCCAGCAAAAAACCAAGAAAACCTCGAGAAAACCAAGAATCCAAGAATCCAAGATTTTCAGGTAGATGTTTGGTCCACTACAAAATCTTGGATTCTTGGTTTTCTCGAGGTTTTCTTGGTTTTCCTGGTTTTACTTGGGAATTCTTGGATTTCCAGCAAAAAACCAAGAATTACTAGGGGTTTTTTGGATTTCCAGCAAAAAAACAAGATTTACTAGGGTTTGTTTGGATTTCCAGCAAAAAACCAAGAATTACTTGGGTCTTTTTGGATTTCCAGCAAAAAAACCAAGATTTACTAGGGTTTTTTTGGATTTCCAGCAAAAATCCAAGAATTCCCAAGTAAAACAAGGAAAACCAAAAAAACCTCGAGAAAACCAAGAATCCAAGATTTTGTCGTGGGCCAGACATCTACATGAAAATCTTGGATTCTTGGATTCTTGGTTTTCTCGAGGTTTTCTTGGTTTTCTTGATTTTACTTGGGAATTCTTGGATTTCCAGCAAAAAACCAAGAATTACTAGGGTTTTTTGGATTTCCAGCAAAAAACCAAGATTTACTAGTTTTTTTTTTTTTGTTTTCCAGCAAAAAACCAAGAATTCCCAAGTAAAACAAGGAAAACCAAGAAAACCTCGAGAAAACCAAGAATCCAAGATTTTGTCGTGGGCCAGACATCTAAAACAACAGAAATACCAGCACCAACTGAAGACGAAGAAGAAGAACCACAAAAAGATAATTTTGAAAAATTAAAATCTTAATAATATCATATATAATGGGTATTGGTAAAAGTAAAAAATAATGAAAATAATAGTTTGGAAGACATTAAGAATTTAAGTATAGATGAAAAAACACGAGCAGACACTTTAATTATTAAATCTCTTCAAGAATGTGTGACACGAATTGAGAAACTAGAGAAAGAAAAATCTGACAAATTAATATATAAACTTCCTGCCTTACAATTTTGCAATGCTTCGTTAATTTAAATTAATAATATTAACATATAATAATATTATTGATTGCTATCATAATCTGTCATTTTATCCTCTGTTATTGTTGTTGAAGTAGTACTACTTATATCATCTATTAAATCTTCTTCATCAACAAAATTATTTTGAAATCTTAATAATTCCTCGTCTGTTGCCCTTCTTTTCAATACTTTATAAAGTTTATGTATCCAAGAATTAGTATGAAAGTTACAATTACCTCTACGATAAAATCCACCACATCTACATAGTTTCATTGGCATATTACTATATTATATTAAATTAGAATATCTTTATTCATCATTCGTAATTTGAAATGCCTGTTCAAATCTGATATGAAACATTTTGTTAATGTCTTTAGCATTCATATTCACGTAGAAGAAACTATAAGGTGCGTCATTAGCGGCTTGATGATACATATCTAATAATTGCTGTTTATCAACAATGGCGCTATTTTCTTCAATAAAACTCATTAACTCACTTGCATTTTTCAACCTAATGAACTGGCATTTAAACGAATGATAGGCACTAAAACATTATATTTTTGTGTTGAACAAATTACACTTACTGCATCGTGCCTGTCTCTTGTAAAAAGTCAGTGTAATAATTTACTATATCTAACAAATTTAGGATCGTCTGCGTGGTCATCTACAACGATGAATATTGAATGCGTGGTCATCTATAACGATTAATATTGAATGTAGTTTCTGTATCTTTTTAGACTTCATATAATTAATTATTTTCTTCTGTCTTTCAATTACATTTTCTATATCACTTGGATTATAATTATCAAAATAAATTTGTTCTTTTTCATCATCCACGTGCAATTCATCCCTGATGTATTTTTTAACTTCTGTAAAAGTTGGGTCATTATGAACGCTGGGGGAAAATATAAATATTCTTGCAAATGAATTTCTATAAACATTCAAGATAAGGTTTTGGACTAAAACTGTTTTGCCTCCCGTCGATGAAGCAACTATGATACTTCTAAATGGTAATTTTAGCACGTGCTCATATTTGGATTGATTGAATTCATGTTCAGTTATGTTTATTGGTTTTATTATTGGGACATCTGTCATAGTTGATATTAAAGAAATATAGACAATTATATTTAAAAATTAACTTGTCATTAATATTAAATGGAACATCATTATGTTATGAGTGGCGGTGAATAACATAATGGAACAGGTTTTCCATTGCTTCAATCAATAAGCATTGAAGATAATTAGTTTTGTGTTTTGCTCGCGTGTGCAATGAAAACCAAGTGCTGTGCCCCACCAATAGCGATGAAGGGAGGGGCAAATGATAGATGAGATCCTGCTTTTTTTAGCTAAAAAGGTAGGTCATGCAGGGGGGGGTGAGCATATATATACACACCTGTTGATCCTCCAGCAGCTGCCACATTCCTAGCAGAGTGGACCATGGCACGGCTGTGCTTCTGGCTGAGGGCCTCAAGCGCGCCGCCTCCTGGTCTGCGGAAGGTGCCGGGCAGCCAGGGCTGTGAGGGAGGCTGTCACCTGGGAAAAAGGGTCCCAGCGCTTGCCTTTTTGTTTGGACCTGAAACGGGCTCCAACTCTGACGGGTTTGAAACGCCAAGCCACAAGCCTGGAAACACAGATGCTTTTCGCATGGGGGAATTATACCCGAGAATTACTGCCAACAAGGCCAACAAGTGTTGTTTGTTGCAGCCTGGGCCAACTGGGTGAAGTCATGCCTCCACCTCAGGGACGCACGCCGAAAGACATTGGGCTAAAACTGAATCCAGGTGAGTCTGGGTGGGGCACAAGCCATGGTAAGGTGGAGTTTCCCCAGCAATGCGGAAGAGGGGCATGCGTTCCCACGTCAAGATATGTCAAAATGATTGAGCCAAGGGCAGCATTTTGGTCGAAACAGGGCTTCCCTCGATTTCTTCCATGACTCCTGGGACTTCCGGTCGGCTTTCTGCGGCCGTTTGATTGTTGGCAAGGGCGGAAATGGATTTTTCCCGTTGTTGTCGTTCTTCCGCAAAAAGGGGCTGGTTTCTAACATTCGAGTCTTTTTGACAAGTGGTTTCAAGTGGGTGTCCTTCTAAGCACCACATGAAAGTCAATCCCCATGTTGGCGAGCCTACCTTGCAGTGACCCGATCGGGCGCCAAGGTGTATGTCAACGTGAGGCCAAGCATGTTCTTGACATTTCCAAGACAGAAGTGTTGACCTCGCATATCGTCTCATCCCTTGCTCTTTCGCAGCAGGTTTTGCGATCGATTTCTTCCAGGTTTACCAGGTTGCTTAGGTGGAGTACCGCATGTGCCTCAGCATCCGCCTATGGGAATACTGTTCGAACAGCTCTCGCATTCTTCGCCCGAACGAACGGCTCAGTTCTACTAGCCTTCCCTTTGCCACATGGCCATGGGTCAAAAGCCAAATCGTACCCCCAGTGAACCTCCGATTCAATCCAACCGCTGAAATAGGTTCTAAAATGGGTGGTGAATTTGCCAATCCCCCAAAATGGGATACCATACGTTTTGACAACCACAGCCACATGTTGGACTCGGCCAACGGGTTTTGGGTCATTCCCTGAGGCCGAGTGGCGTGGCGGCCCTGCCTCCAGGCTTACACCCAAGATGCCAGGCCGGAAGCGGTGGTCGTTTGGGGAGGGCGGGCGCCCGTTTGCGGGGACGACAGACGGGATTGGATGGGACGACAGGCGAGTGCCACGAACCGCGAGTTTTTGCTTCACCTGGTCCTTGCCAGCTTGGAAGGGCGCCAAACGAGACATTCCGTCCTTGGGATGGGAACCAAGCGGTTTTGGCACAGAATGGGTTCGGCTCATTTCCACCATGCAACCAACTGGGGGTGTCTTTGTTTGAGGGAGCCCTTTGGGGTTGGTTTTATTGGAAACCAAAAGGAAGCCACTAAGTCTGCTTGTGGCAATCGCTGAAACGATCTGTCAGGATTGCCATGGATTCTTACTCCTTCGATATCAGGGTCGCTGATATTTCGGAGCTTTTGGCAACTGTCAATGACTGGGATGCCCCTGAGCACGCACCCATGGCGGCTTCTCAGGGCTGTCCGAAAAAAATCAACAACTTGGTTTGAAGAGAAAGGATGTTTTGCCATGGAAAGTTAGACGAGTATGTTTTGGTCACAGGGTTTCTCTGACGGCAAAAGATCAAACCACAAGGGCAGACAATTTAGTGTCCTTTAGCATTCCCTTGCAGAGGCCACATTTGTATACCCTTGTATCAGGATTAAGTTTTGCATGTGCTCTCCATCAATGCAATTGTTCATCAGCCCTCTATTTTCACCAGCTCTCCAAAGTTTCTTTGTTGGTCTGGATGACTCATTCATGTGCACTAGAGGTAAGCTGCTAGATCCCTGTTGAAGGGCGACAATTGCATCGTTAAAGATGGTGCCGTGCGGGAGCTCACAGCTCCATGCTAGATCAGTTTTTCTTAGTGTCAGTCGAGTTTTTGAGAGGGATAGAAGAAGAAGCAGAAGAAGAAGAAGAGCAAGACAACCATGGCTGCATCCGCTTGGGCAGTTTTTCCGGGTCTTGTATGGCAAAATGCACAGGAGGACAGTTGCAGTTCATGTCTTTCTCTGTGTAGAAACGTGTAAGGTGCTGGCGCAATTTGCGTCTTGCCTTTTGCACAGGCAAAGGCTCCTGGAAAGGCGGGGAAAGGGTGCCGGTTGCTGAGGGGAGGCAACGTGCTGTCAGGCACCCTTGTGACACCCGGAAGCTCGAACGAGTGTTTGAAGGGAACCCCGCGAGGGAGAGATGGGAGAGCAAGATCAGCCTCCTTTTTTTGGCAAAGAAAGTTCGGCGAGCACACGCCACTTGGAGATCGGCCTTAGCACCAGACGGGACGCAACCGCTGGCCACCGACCGAGTTGTCCCATTCGGCCGGCATTAGCTGGGCACTGGTCGCATTTCAGTAGCAAACCAATAGATTGATATGGCTGTGGGTCAAAACCAATGCTACCATTTTGGGGTAGGTGCACCACCCATTTTGGTCTATTTTAGTGGGGATTGGGATGTTCACTGGGGGTCCAGTTGGTGATGCAAATGGTGCATGCGAAGTTTGTGTGACTTCTGTTCAAATGGATTTGCAAATTGAACGTGTATACATATAGAGTGGCAGGGAACTAAACTGTGTGCGCAGCCACACTAGAATCAAAGACGACGCAGTGGTTAGCACTAAGCGGTGGTCAAAGCAGAGCAGATGCCTCTTCGAGAGGGCGAGGCCCTAGTTCGTGTGACAAAGCGTCCTGATTGCGACTGTTGCGCTGGTCTTCAAAGATTCTTGGTCACAGTTGAGAGAATGCTGGCGCACAGGTGGCAAAGACAGCTTCAAGGGAGGTGCGGTGCTCATGAGATTTGCAAGCTCATCTCTGGTCCCTGAGGTGTTTCGCAAAGCTCCCCTGGAAATGGGGAAACGGCTCCTTTTGGTTTCCGGTTCGCCGAGTCAGGCGGAGTCCCTAAGAGGCCAAACCGATATTCGGACAAGTGTCAGCCGGAATTCTGAGATTGCAGCTTCCATTGCCCTTTTCCAGTTTCGTAGGTGAAAACGCGGGGCTCCACCTCTTTGACCGAGGCTGAAAGGCATGACATATGCTTGTAGCTGGTGCAAAGATTGGCTTCGGTTTCTTGGGTACGCGTTGCCAAATCCCCGGGACGCGGAATTCATGGCACCCCGTTGCATGTTTAAATGACAAATGTGAAGCGATGGAAATTGGCAATCGCGCCTATTTGCTATTATATATCATCATAGCTAACAGTCCTGCTATGAAAGTTGCCTGTTGCAAATTGCACTGCACTGCACCGCACTGCATTGTGTGTGTGTGCGCGCGCGTACATGTTTTTCTCAGTATGCCTTTGGCGGATGGTGGATGACAGCAACACGTTTTTAGAAGAGGGCGGAGGGTAGTGTTTGAGGCTTGAAATGACTTGATGGCTTTTTGCATTGTCTTGATCATGCTAGATGGCTACAGCCATGTTCTTGGAACATGTTCTGCGGCGAGGGCTATTGTCGAAAGGAGTGCATTAAATGGCTCGCAAAAGCTTGTTGTGCTCCTTACCATTGTCACTTGCCCATTGTTCATTGCATGATGGGAAGCCTTCTACCAGAAAACACCAGCTGAGAGCAGCGTTGGGGATCACCGTCAACCCCGGGTGGACATTGCGGAATCTCTCTTTGAAGTGGGGAGTGTCATCACGTCCGGCGCATTCCGGTTTCAAGCAACCAGGCATCTTGCATCCAGCGTTCGCCCCTCTACCGATCCTGCATCCAGTGTTGTCTCCGGCATGTTGAACTTTTTGACCCGCTCAATGACACAATCTTCGCCTTTTCATGCGGTGCCTGAGGTGGCAAGAACAGCTTCAAAGGAGGCGCGCAGTTTATTGATCCCTGCCAAGTAAGGAACAAGGATTTCCCTGCATTTATTTACCTTGCATTCAATTCAACAGTTTTGCTCTGGAGGTCCATGAGAACAGCAGGACGGCGAAGTCTCATGCCATGCCCTCGCATGAAGAAAGGGTGCCCGCAACAGCATGCCGAAAGGCAAATAATTGCGCCCACCCAGACCCATTGCCAAAAGTTCACGAAGAAAATGGAGCCAGTGTGCCCTACGTGCTTGTAGCTGGACTCCCAACATATTCCCGTAAAAGTTGTCTAATTGAAGAGTCGTGAGACGTAAGCATCTACATAAAGTCAATAACGGGGCAGGGTACAGCGAATACAGCACAATGTTGCCGTGCTTTCCGGGTGCGGTGTGCTGGTACGCCCTCTACCGCAGCACTTGTACCGCTTTGCCGCACTGGTACCCTCTTGCGGCACCAATCATACCCTTATACCAGACCAGTCGTACCCTTGTCCAATCGCACCTTTGAACTGCACCAGCTGCACCCTGGCACCAGTGGGGCGCAAAAGGGTGGATTCAGTGCCGCTCTGACACTGCTTGCAGGCTGGAAAGGTGGCAAAGGCTGGTGATGGCCTGGCGAGGGTCTCGAGATGTGTCGATATTGTGGAGAAGTTAGTTGCCATCCTTCAACTTCCGCACGTGCTGTTTTCTGACTTAGCCTTTTGACACTCTTTGTAGTTGGGTATCGAGGGACTGTTTGAATCTGGCAAGTAGTGTTGAAGGCTTGCATAGTCGAAGGCATACGAAGTACTGCAGCAGCCTCAAGCAAGACCATACGTGCATGGGTTGATGGAAGATGTTGAACATGGTTTTAGCAGTATGTTTGTGTGGATTTGGCACGCGTGACTCTCTCCAAAGGAGGATAGTATTCTCAGTTTGTGCTTAGGTGATGGCGAGTGTCACCGTCCCTGACCTCCAGCCAGTGGATCGCACACAACACATGTTTCTTTGGCGGTGTTTTTGTTGTGCCTGTCAAGCATCATTCTGTGGCAGTGAGAGTCATGGTTTCAGAGAGTGTTCCAGCCGCGTGGAAGCGCAAGCAGCGGTACCCCACCCACTCCATGTGCTGTAGCTTAGTATGGGAGTTCTGCGTCTCGGCTATAGTGAAACGCGTCAGTTTCCTGCGAGTGGATCCAACCAGCCGTGGTTGAAGAAGCCAATTGCAGCATAGAATCATGCACGAAAGCGTGCCTTGTCGTCCACAGGACAAGTCGATTCCATGATACCACGATGGTGTCGCAATGTTCGATTGTATTTCATCAAGCATGTGGCTTACATGGAAAATCCTCATAGCCCTTCGTTTCTGCTTCATGTTGCACTCACTTCAACATCAGCCCCAGGATGGTAAGATGCTTGTTTTGTCTTGGGGTTACCGGGGTTCCCAAGACTTGGTCTTTTGAGAGCCTTTTCCGGCTCCTGAATCCAGTCGTGTGCATCATTGCATCTGTTTGGCAGTGAACATTCCCACTTTGAACATGATCTTGCCCTTTTCGTTTGGCAGTTTTTACAATTGAGATCGGGTGGGGAGACCGCTGCTCGCCAGCCGTTTCGGTGACAAAAGTGGGCGTTCAATTCTGGGCAGTCCAAGACAGCATCTCAGCGAATTGGATAACACTTAGCACAGTTCAGTGGTCCAGATTTGACAACATCTGCTATTCCGGTAGGTCATGCTTGTCTTGTGCAACCGCAACAACCCACGCTCTTTGTGGAATTCTTCAGGTGCAAAGCTGAAATGGAACTTCAGGGGGATTCATTGAGGCAATGACTGGGTCTCATTGAGGAAATGAGTCTATCCCGACTTCCTGGCAATTGGTTGGAAAGCGTTTGGTGTGCAAAGACAACCCGCAAGCCTGAGCCGGGGGATATATTGGCCAGCCGTTTTAGCCTGGGTTAGGTTCACATGAAGGCTATCGGACAATGTATCCTTCCATGACTTGCTGGTGCGATAGGTAGGGAATGTGGAATGAACCCAGAGGTCCCCTTAAAGGAAACCACAAGGAATAGTTTATCGGGGGTCATTCCCTCAATACCTTCTGAGCACCGGCAAGATGAGGCTTTTTCCTAGGAGGTGACCTTGAGCTCTTTGTTGGCCAAGTGACGTGAGGAAGCTTAGGTTAGCTCCACGGGTCGCTTCCTACCATCAACCTTGGGGTCAATGGCCCATAGATCTGTGTAGGCATGTCAGCTGCCTTGCACCTTTTTCAACATGGACTGGTTTTGGCCTGCTCATGTGCTTCTCCAGAATTTGCACACTGCATCAGTGCAAGGCGCAAATGGCACAACTTGAATGTCCTGCTTCAGGCTCGGTTTAGCAGCCTAGACAATGCTGCAGCTGGTTGTAGTCGGGGGTAGAAAGCTTTTCCGGTTGCGCTTGCAAGACGGGTCAGTTGCTCGCACCGGTCAGACAGCCACAGACAAAGGTGACAAGGGTCCAGACAGGGCTGGATGACCTCACTGGTTCAAGAACATGAGTGGGATCCTTGCCGTTGGCAAAGGACAGCTGCTGAGCCGAAGTCTGACCATATCTAGCAGCCTGTTGGCTCATGGCGGAAGAGCCAGAAGCGGTCAAGCCGGCATCTCGTCCGCAGAAAGAACCTTACAAGTAGAACCTGTGCACTGCGTTTGCTTCAAGGGTTAAAGCAGGATGATGCTTGATGTCTTCGATTGATCGCATTCTTGGTTTGTCCCACGCTTCGCGGGCCGGTCACGTGGGACACGGCCTGGTTTCAGCTTTTGATTTGTTGAGAGACGACTGCCTTGACCACCGTGTCACACTTTGGAGAGGATGTTGCCCAGGGCCCCGTTGTCCGGGCCAGGTGTTAGCGGGCTTCCCCGGTCGGGTTTCCTAAAACACCAGAGGCTGCTTGTGGGACTGCTGAAGAGGGCTGAGCTCGGGGTCTGCGCTGGCTGTAACTCATCGTGCTGACGGCTGACACCTGCAGTTATGTAGAAATTGACAAACCTGGCCAATGCGGATACATGCTGAGGGTAAGTTCTACCATTTTTGACCTAGACAATTTTGTTCCATGAGGAAAGCACGGTAGCACGCAGAGGGGTCTTCTGACACCTTTTGTGAGAAAATTGGCGACCCCCTGAACAAGGAATGCTTCACTACAAGGGGGTCGAGCATTTTTCCACCGAAGGTGGCAAAAAGACCCCTCTGGTAGCACTTTTGCTACTCAGGCGGAGCCGGTGGCGCTGAGCGTGCCTGCTGCCTGGGGCCCGGTGTGGTTTGCATCGAAGGTGCAGCCAGCTACACCCGCACCCAGTTGAGGGGGTACGTCTTTCTGTTTTTGGGAGAGGGGATTCCGTGCTATGGCGGATTTTTTTTTTTCAGTTGCCACCGCTTGCTTGTGTCTCGCCGGTGTAGCGCTTTCGCAAATGAACTTTGACGTGGCTTTGACGCCAGTCATTTTCAACAAGTAGACGCCCAGCCTTGGGAAAACACCCTGGGGTGCGCCGGGGATGGATTCCCTTTACTAGGTCCCCCAGTGGTGCCCTTTTACCATTTTTTGGGGGAGGGTTCCCCTACTAAAATAGACTCCAAAAAAGGTACCCTTATTCTAACCTCTCTACTGGAGGACCTAGTTTATGTTTCGAGTTGTTGTGGATCGGCACACTTGGCTTCTACCGGTGCCTGGACGAGGTGTTTACTAGCCAGCACGGATTAGCCTCCAAGCTCGGGGTCGCACGCCTCGGCGAGGTTCATCACCAAATTGCGTGCTCACGGTTTCATTTCTGTTTTACTTGGTGGGCTTCTTTACGAGGCGATGACGAGCAGGAATTGTTCACCAGCTTGCTACACCCACACACACACACAGCACAACAGCGTTTGCTTCGGGGCAATGCAACTCAGCTTGGTGTGTGCTATGCAGAGGCATTTCCAGCAACTTCTTGTATTGATAGGCATGATAAAACACAACCATGTTCCACTTTGACGCTCCATGCCGTTGCCCACAATCAGGGGCGCATATGGATCAACAGGAACAGGCAAATCCCATCCTTGAAGAGGAACAGCTTTCACTCTGTTGGAATTCAACCCGTCTGTTCTGAAGCAGCAAGGGATCGCACTCCTGGAACGCAGCAAGGTGATGCGCAACCTGTACATGAACACAGTGAGCAAGAAGACACCCGAGCCCATTTCGGTTATGTGGTTGGAAGTCTGGGTCTCCTGAACACAAACCAGTCCCAAGTCAGAAATAGAGGCAACCCAAACGGCCAACTCGGACGTGAGCTCCACGAGGATCTCAACCTTCTCCACTTCTTGGGCCGGGATGAGCTCTGCGACTGCACAATCAGGCATCCGAGCTGAGCATGGGCCCCCAAAAGCCGGTTTGATTCCAGGAACATTCGAGTGCCCCCGAAACCCTGCAGTCAGTTCAGGGAGTGTGCCGCGGGCAGAGGATTGTGATTGTACCGCATTCCGAAAGAAAAAAAAGAGCAAACAACTGGGCAAGCACCTGACTTTGAGTACCACGCGGCTGTCACAGCAGTGTTTTCCGTTCTCAATCCAAGCGTGCCTCTCTTCAGACCTAAGCAGTAAAAGCAACAGCTGGCAGGCAGAAGTCTTTTCCGCAGCACCAAGCGCCCCCCCAGCAACGTGCAGGATGCCGGGCACGGAGTTGAGATGCCACCGCCTCGCGCTGTGCGCCCTGGCACGGAGACTCGAGGTTGCAGGTGGTGCTTCCAGTGACATCTTCAACCAGGGGTCGTGGCTTGTGCTTCGTATGTTGTAAAAGCAGAACAGCAGGTGATGACTTGCAGACAAAACACTCAAGGCCCAAGCAAACCGATCGGCCTGTTGAATCCACATTTGCCGAATCGGACAACAATGACCCTCGAATCATATCTGTCATATTTGCAACATGAGCTGGCAGGGAAGATGCACGATATGCTAGCGTGTGCTTATAAGGGATTTCTGAAGATAGCCATTTCCGCAATTCCAAGCTCACCATCACCGACACACCGAGGTTTGACTAGCGTTGTCCTCCTGAAAACATGGCCGCTACCCAGCATGATCCTCTCTGGTAGGTCTCATCAATATGGCAGGTGCGCATGAGTCTGCCAACTGCAGGCTCCTGCTCCGGCTTCTTCTTCCGCGGTTTTCTGGCATCCGGGGCACCGGATGTGCTAGACCTGCCCGAGCCGCTTGGTGGGCAAGCAGGGACCGCGTTGCAAGGAAGTTCGGAGAAGTTGGATCGTGCCTGTCTCCCTTGTGTTGAAAAATAGATCCAGGGATGAGAAACATCCAGATTGCCACTTCTTCCGAATGGTGTACCATGAGTCGCAAACTTTGTCCCCCAACCGATTGTTGGCAAGAGCAACGCAGAGAAGCATCGCCCGCATGTGGCGTCACAGATACCGAGGCGCCAGGGAACGTGTCTTCAGAATGTGGCCTCAGCCTCTGGCGCAAAAGTCATAGACACAAATATGTCATACGTATATATATATATATATGTATATGATATATATATATATATAATATGTGTATATGTATATATACACATGTACACATCCCTGTGCGTTTCGCCCCTCGGCCATCTTAGGCTCCCAGAGGATGCCGAGCTCCGGCGTCAACTCCCGGTGCGGCGCCTCTTTCAGCAGGTCCTGCGCTTCGCCTACGCGGGGCAGCGCTGGGAGGCGCTGGAGGCCGACGAAACTTCGCCGGCGCCGGACCGTGGGAACACGGGGCCGGGCAAATAGCCAGGCTCAAGCTATGCGTTTGCGGCAGTGGATAGTTGTTTGATGCTTTTTTGGCCGACGATGATGTTCAGCATGTTTATGGGACATGCTTCTCCTTGTTTGTTAACGTATTCCCTCCATGGAGTCATTTGGTTTTGGACACAAGCATCCCAGATCGCGACGGTTCACGCTCACTTTCGGGTTCTTGCGTTGCTTGTGCGCTTTCGCACGTCCTATCACGATCATTGACCTCACCACTGTTTGACTATGTTTGACCGGGTTCGTCCTTTGCCCTGATAGTGACTTGTCATTCCCCAAACACAGGTATCAATATTTGCTCTGCAGCTTGCTGTCCGTTTGCAGCTTTCGTGCTCCATTAGAAGCGTTATGTCTTATGTTTGTGCCGAACGAGCAGACAGAAGCAGAGGATCTCGTCTTGCGGGTATTGCCAAGATGGTAGGCACCCATGGACTTATGTTCTGCCGGTGGCCGCGTTTGCTCCCGCCTTTTGCTTGTATCAGTTGATGCACTGCTTTTCCGTTCTGAATCCAATCAGCTTCTCTTGTTTTTGTCGTTGCAATTGATCCACGCTGCATCATGTTATCCAGGTTCTTACCCACAATCCAAGCATCTTTGACCCCCTCCTAAATGTCTCTCCCTGCAATCCGCCGATTCTTTTTAAATCTTCTGCTTTGCAAGGTCCCCCAGTAGTGCCCTTCTCTCCCCTTTTTCCGGAGAGGGTTCCCCTAAAATAGACAAAGCCGAAAAAAAACAATTCGGGTACCAACTTATTCTAAGCTCTCCACTGGAGGACCTAGTCCAGGTAGGTTGATTCCTGCAGCATCAGAGTCAGACGCAGAGCTTGCGTCAGATTTGCTGATGTGGTCCCTGGGTCCATGCTAAGTCTCAGTGTTCCCTTCCAAAACCGCGGGGGCCGCGGCTTTCGCCTTTCTGAAGCGAAGGACTGCTGCGGGCTGTTGGCGCTGGCGCTGGTCCTGGAAGCCCCGGCTCTGCGAGAGGCCGCCTACGGGGCGCTTGTGCCGGAGCCAGGCGCGGAAGCCCAACCTCAGCCTTTTTGCGGGTACTGTTTTGAGGCTTGGTTAGGGACACCAAAGGAAAACCACCTTTTTGGGTATTCCCCTGTTTTCTAGGTTCCTCAAACTTTGAAACAGTCAACAAGCAAAGGAATACCTGCCAAAAAGTTTGGACATCAATCCCCATGATATTTGCCAAAGTGCCCGCCCGCAACTGAAATCCATATTCGCCTGAGAAACCCGGGAGCCAATCTGAGAGATTCCTAATTGAAAATTGCGCCTTGGCCCCAGTTTATGAAGTTCCGTTGGTCTACGGTTGGGCTTGGTTGGCGCAAAATTTGGGTCGAGACAGCACATGGGTTCACTTGCATCAGAGTTCTGCCCAGGGATCTCTGATACTCGTGGGTCACCTGCCCTCAGAATGCTTGCAAGGCACTGCCACCAAACTGCTGTATGTGGCTACGCTGCTGCAAAGCCGCTTCGAGGCGGGACTGTCTGCTTGTGGCCGCCTTGGATCACCTTATGATTCTGTAGGCACCCAGCAGCCTCCTCTCAGGCAAGCCGTAACTAGTTCATTTGTGGATTGGGGATTTGAACCCCTGGTTCTTGTTGAGGGTAAACGGGAGCCGCCCCAGACCTCCAAACCTTCAAACCTCCAATCCAACCAACCAATCACTCCCCCGCAAAACAAACGTTGAACACAAAAAGGGTCCCCAAAAGGAGATTCTCCTCTGCAATTTGTTGGTTCTTTGGGCTCCATGTGGGCATGGGTCAAAGCCCTGTACCTCCAGTGAACATCCCGATCCCCACTAAAATTGACTAAAATGGGTGGTGCACCTATCCCAAAATGGTACGCCATGTCACACTGCAGAGTAAGCGGATCACTTCCGGAGGGCTTCCGGCCCTTCCTGGAGAGCTGCCAGCAGCAAGTGCTCGAGGGCTTTGGCGTGCTGGACGCCGCGCAGAAAGGCCCGGGGGGGGGGGGGTGGGGGGGTGGGGAAGTTTCGGAACATTTTGCTGCAAGGGGCTGGATCTTAGAGCATGAAGCTGAGTTGGTTTTCAGCAGTGTTTTGGCAGTGGGAGGGGGCCAAACCGCACAGGCTGTTCATGGGCGACTGTGATGCTGGCATGATCAGATTGATGCAGCCGAAGCAGAATCCAGAAAGGTCAAGCCATTTTTCAGATCACCTGGTCCGACCACGTCTGAGATGCAGATGCGCGTTCATCATCAATTGACTGACCCTTTTTTAATGTTTTGTCTGCAGCGCTGCGCTCACTCTTTACTTCAGTGACAGTTGATAAAGCTGGAGCGTAACCCGAAAACCGTTGGTCGTCGCAGACGAGCTCATGAGAGAGGCATCCTTGTCAATGTGCCAGGGCTGCTGGCCAAGCTTCCTGTGGACCTACTGGCTACCTTTGCTGCAGGGGTGTGTGTGTGTGTGGAGTGAACCTTAAGTGGGGACCACGTGGCTCATGTGGCATGTGAGCCCCAACAAGAATAATGCTTCTGTTAAAAGAAATTGCAGCAGGCTGACATTTTATGTCAGCCTCTGGTTGCCGCTATGAATGCTTTTTGTTGATTCATCTTCAACTTCTTTGTCGCATGGGATTCTGCATTGCGAGCCCTGCGGGGCAATCACTGCAATGCTGGTGGTTCGATGGCAGGCGCCAGATTTGCTGGGAAACGGTAGTGCGATCAAGCTCCTCTCAAGTTTCACTGGAAGATGACCGACATGTCTGGCGAGGAACGAAGCTTTGGGACATGTCAGAGATTGAAGATTAGAGCGATACACAACGATCCTTGTTGTCTAGACCTGCACAGCCTAATTTTCAGAGCATCCAACAATTTGTGGTGGTTTTCCCAGACGCCCTCCAAAGTGTCGGATCTCAGGTTTACCTTTTGGAGCAAGACGCACTGAATGTGCCGGATGAGGGCACCGTGCTGCGCTTCGCACCTCGGCTCTGGTACTGTAAGGGCTCAAACAATTAGAATGGGGTTGTAGGGACTTTGCAACCCGTTTAAGTTCTTCGTTTTCTTGCTGAAGATGCTGTTTTGTCTGGCTGGTTTCGGGGCCTTGTGCTTGCGCGCTGCAAGGGAAAAACAGGTAGAAGCCTTCCGACTGAATCCATTCTTCCTACACTGCTTGCTTGAGAGTCTGCAAAGAAGCCGTGCAAGTCAGAGGTTTGCGAGCCCGCACCGCCAAAAAACATGAGTTCACCGCGCGAGTTCACCGCTAAAACCACGAGTTCACCGCCATGGCGTCACTGAATCGCTGGGACGGACGCGGTCGCCGGCCGATTTTCGGCAGGTGCGGCACGTGCTGTGGCGCCGCCTGGCGCGGCCGGCGATGGCGCAGCTGGCCGTCTCGGGCACCGGGGTGGCGCAGCCTGCAGAAGGCCAGGGCAGGTGGAGCCCAGGTGGGGCAGGAGGGCTGACTTTTTGGCTTTTGGCGGCAAGTGTTTGTTTTTTTTGAGAAGGGTCAATAGTGTGCTAAGGATCTTGGGCGTTTAGTGGAGGAGTCCCCCTTTACCCTGCCTGATGTGCGGAGTGGTGGCCCAAACGATGGATTGTCCGCTGTCTTTTGTGCGGCGTGATGGCAATGCATGGCTGCGAGCCTGCCCAAAGTCCACGGGTTCAAGTCCAAACCACGGTTGGTGATGCCGATTGTCGTTTGCAGGTCAAGGGCCGAGCAAAGGAACAAGATTTGTTGCTTGACAATGGGACGTGAGGAATCCAGGCACACTGATGTTGAACCGTTTCCAGAGCTCTGAACGAGAAGCTGTTAACTTGTGCGAGTGGCTCGTGCTTTTCTTCTCAAGAGTTGCTTCATTGCCAAAGCCTCGGGGCCCAGCTGTTGGTGTTCCGCACGAGACTGAAGCAGAGAGGGCCTTTGCAGGTCAGCTGCTCTGGGAGTCACTCGCTCTGGAGGAATCTCCGCGAGAGAGCTTTGGGTGGGAAGGTGGGAAGGTGGGAACTTGGGACTGTGTGCCTCTAACTGATTTGGGGATCTGGTCGGTATAGCCACCAAAAAACGGTGAACTTCAGTGTGCCTGCCAGACCCCGAAGGCAGCCGGATTCAACCAGGAGCCCGGCTTCGCCCCGCCGGTGCCGCGCTTCTCCGCCGCAGCCTTGGGAGAAGGCGCGACTGAGCAGCTTGGGGTGGAATGCTCCGGGTGAATTATGACGACCTCACGACCGAATTCGGTGATTTATGTTGGGAATAGATCCCCAACCACCTTATTTAGCGAGATCGAAGTCTTGATATTTCCATGAATCATCATGGATAGCACAAAGTGTTGTGCACATGCCATGTCAATACCGTAGAATCTCGGACCATGTTGTCAAGTTGTCAATATACTTGCATATTGTGCTCGGGGTAACTTTTGAAAAGAGTGAACACTCAGAGAAGTTCAAGCTGTTTCATGGGGGCTGTGAGTTGGGCTTCAGAGGGCTAGCTTGAATGGGAGGGTGGATTTCTGTTTGCCTGGTAGGTAATTAGCTTCTCGCTTCAATGCAGAAAGATCACCCTCTCCCATCAAGCCCCTTGGCTGTCATTAATTTGTCAGCCTGAAGCCCTGAGGGGCGAGGCCAGTTTGATTGCGCCATGCTAGACTCAACCGCTGCCCTTCTGAGGGGCCCATGGCTTCAATGTTGACCCCGGATTAATAAACCTGTTTTATGAATATGGGGGTGTTCCCTTCCAAAAAGTGATAAATCCCCACAAAAACCGGGGACACTCCCATACTAATAAACAGGGGTTGATTAATCCGGGGTCAACATTGAGTTGGGGTCAAAATTTATGGAACTTGGGCGCCAGGCGCGGCCATCCCTGAGCTGACGCACCGCCTGCCGGAGGTGCCTGGCCGCGTGATGCTGCGCGCCCTGCGGGAGGACGAGGTGCGGACGTCGCCTGGAGACGAACCCTTTTTCACTCTCGTGGTGTCCCTTCCCAAGGCCAGGAATTGGCCAATGTGTATGTGCCAACTTGCCGGTTTCATTTTGATTGTTGGTTCACGTACCTTGAAGGCGAGGAATTGGGCAATGTGTAATCATGTGCCTCCGCAATTGGCGATGATGCTGACTGGCGAGCTGACAGCTGAACAATGCAGCTGAAGCTGCTCTTTCCAGAGAGGGTGCGTTGTCTCCTTTGCAGGTGGTGGCATTGGCGGAAGTGCCGATTCGTCGGCCGCAGGACCCAAGCATCGGTCCTTGCAGGGATGCGCTGCCCAGTCCAGAAACGGGTTTTAGATTGGTTGGTCCTAAGGCAGGCAAGTTGTAGGGCAAACATGGCCGCTTTGGATTCAGTTCCTGATGTTTGAGAATGCGCTCGGATGCGAGTTGCAAATAGGCAAGTTGAGCTGGGACACAGGTGCTTGGATGCCGGTGAGATAATGGTCTTTGCATAAACGCACACACACACACACAAACTGTACGCATTTTGATTGGAACTTTCGACTTGTGTCCAGCTTGTTTTATGTGTCCGGAGACCTGTCATACCAGGAGCCAGGAGCTGCTGTGGACCTTCAAGTGCAGGCAGTGTGCGAAAATGGCTTCTCTTTGTTTGCATTTCGCCATGCTCTCGCTCTGTCAGACATGCGCGGAAGAAGGCACTCTCTTCATGTCATCATTCTGGACCATGTCAGAGACTTGAGACAGGGAACGCTGGCGTTAGATTGAGCTCTCTCCTCCAATGAATTGATGTATGTCTGGTGTTTAAAGCTAAAATCGGCATTGTCCGTGTCGTCGGCGGGTCGCAATAAACTGTTTGGACGCTGCTGACCTGGTCGGTTGGCAGTTCCCAGCACAAACCTTGCGCCAAGGTATCCCATCTTGCGCGTTTTTGAATTTCTGGCTTGGCAACCAAAACAACAAAGAAAGAGCTGACAATAAAACAGACAATGTTGGCAATCGATCTTGTTGTTGTGCCCATGGGGGCCGCAGATTGGGTGTCCCAGCTTGTTCATGGTGGTTACCTGATGGGCATTTCACAGATGAAACCCAGTTCTATTCCGAGCGTCGAGACTCCAAAGAAGATCACCTCAAATTGAGGGAGAGCTGTTCTTTCACCTCCGGCCAATGGCATGGCTTGTAGAACTCCCAGTGCAGATTCTCTACAAATATATATATATATATATCTACATATCTATAATGTGTATATATATAATGTATACATATATATATATATATACATATATATATATATATAATGTATATATATATATATATATAAGTGCTGTGGATCCAGAGCAGACTCAACGGTTCCTGTCGATCGTCACCTCGCGAGGCAGCGGGTGTGGACGGGCAGCCGGTGGGTATGCTGCAAGTGAGGCAGGGTTGGTGTTTGGCAATGCTTGACGCTAGCTGTGCCCACCTGAAATGAAGACCTGGTAAGAAGGCGGTCTGTACATAGGGTACGTTCCCCCACGGAATGAACTCACGCCACCACCGTCAGAAACATGGCTTGGGCATCTCTTTTTTATGGCTTTGCCTTTTGAACAGAATCTGCTGTTGCTTGTGGTCTTCCCTTGCAATGGGGTTGTGTGGCCTGTTGTTCAACACATTGGTGGACTTACGCCGCCAGGAAGGCATTACACGTGATTGCTGACAGTTGCTACATCCTCATGCTTCTCGCGATTTAACGTGTTGGTGCTGTGTGGACGGTCAAGGCAAGAAGGATTGCCCAGCCACTGTTTTTTGCTGTGACACGTATTCAACATGTTTTTGGGTTTGTTTTCCTCCAAAAGCACTTTTACTTTTATCACACTCACGCTGCCACCGGTCAGGTATACGCTCAGCGAGGCGCCTCGGCACAACAGCAATGACAAGCTAGGACTAGATCTGAGGCCAGATGTAAAAGCTGTCTGAAACATGTGTTTGCTTGAGGATGTTTGAGATTTTCGTCAACCTTTGTTGAGTGTTCCAATGCTGCCAGAGGATATCGGCAGCCCACACACATAGACTTAAGCTTGGACACCTCACTACCGGTCATGCGTCATGCGAGCAACGTATCCGCGTTCTGGCAGCCACTTCATGCAGTTTCATCAATGGAGGACGACCGGGGAACAAATGGCAAGCCCAAAAAGCTGAGGGCAGCGCCTCTGATATTTTGGGCCTTGGTTTGGGCGTGCCTTGGTTTGGGCGGGCTCGTGTAGGCAGTGAGTAAGCAGTTCTTTGTGAATCGCGAGCTTTGCTATGGTCAGAACATGATTTGCATCATCGCATGTAAGTTAGAGGAACAACCGCTGAACATAAAATCCTCAGGACCTGCCTTGAGACCCCAGACAAAGGTTTCCTTGGATGACGGGAGTCTTCAGCCCAGTTGAGTGAAACAGGCACCTTTGCACCAACAGCTTTTGCCCGGCGAATCGTCGCATGAACGTTTTTGGGTGCCCAATCGATAAGCATATGTAAAAGCACCGGATGTGGGTGTGGCTCAAGTTAATTAAATAGCTAGGGTTACGCAGGTTTAGTCTTGGGTTCCATTTACCAAGTGAGCCATAGCCATGTGAGCTCCGCTTTCTCCTTTGCGCAGGCGCAGGAGCCAGAGGCGCCGGAGCCTGCCGCACCCGAGGGAGCAGCGCCGGAAGCGCCGGAAGCGGAAGCGGAGGCGCCGAAGGAGGTGGTGCCGGACCAGCTGCTGACGGAAGAGGAGGCGATGGAGCTGCCGATTTCATTTGTTGCCCACCTGGTCAACGAGCTGACCGTGATTAAGAAGATCCGTTTGCTGCTATTGCTTGGGGGTTCCCTTTTCTAGAATAGCGGGAGGGGAATTAGTTAAACTAACTTTCGCGCGGAATCGCGCCCTGCCGGTTTCTTTTGAGCCGCAGATGATGCTGGGGATGCCAGAGATGCAGTTTGTTGAAGGGGATGCGGGCTGCTGCTGTTATAAGAAGACACTTATGACCGTCAAGTCCACTCATTCGCGAGTAAGAACGAGCGACAACCCCAGGTTTTCAGTCCTTCACTTTGGTTTTGGACCTGCTGCAGAATGGGCTGAAAGCTCCCCAGGCTGCTCATCCTCTCATGAAAATGCGCATGGCCCAGGAGTAGCCCCCTGTTTTTCCGTTTGCAGCTGGAGAGTGTTGAGTTGGAGCTTGCATTGAGCCCACAAATAGCGCCAGTACCCACGCTGCTTTTGTTGTATCAGGCTCCCACGCTCACAGTAGGCTCATGACGTGAAACAATGCCGATCGGATGACTGATGACTGATGACACAACTGCAGGGATTTTTATTAAACCATTTCATCAGTTGTGTCATCAGTTGGCCCAATGACACAACTGATGACACAAACAATTTCCCGCCATCCCCTTGGGCCAAAAGTTGCGGCCGAACGTATCCTCCATGTGCCACGCCGCCGCGCGGCTCGCCGCCGGCAGTATGAGGCACGGCGGCTGCTGGGGGCGGTGCGCTTCTCGCAGCTGGAGCATCAGCAGCTCCTGGAGGCGGTCAAGGACCCGCTGCTGGCCCAGGCGCCTGGGGGACACAGATAAAAAAAGCAGCACGGGCTTCGGTTTGGCTCTACTGGCTGCATTCGTTTGTGTGTGTGTTTTTTTGTGACCAAAGGAGAAACTCATATTTGGGTCGAGCTTTTTTGGAGATTGACATGATGGACCCAAGCCACCCGCCATGTTGTTGTGATGTATCTTCCTTTTGGGGAGCCCCTGTTTGGGTGCCATGCCAATTCGGGGATTCTGGGCAGGGAGGAGAAGGGCACTCCTGCTACTTGCAAGGCCGGAATACACCGGCCTGCCCGGTCCTTCTTGAGGTTTTGTTTGTGCTGCTACCTGTTCTTCTGTTTCTTTGTCAAGGAGGTGCCACCTCTTTTTCCGCAAACTTGAGGAAGGTGATGGGTAAGCTCCCCAAGTTCAAGCAAGTGTTTGTCGCACCAAGCAACGGGTAACTCGAATGTTTCGGTGTCAATTGATTGGATTGTCGAACTAACCCACGGGCAACTCGAGTTTGTCTAGCGAACTGTGGTGTTTTTGTTTGATGAGGTATATTGCCGTCGTGCTAGCTGGTCGACATGACAGGGAAGCATAGGCGTCCTTTTTGGTTGGTGTGCTCAAAAAATAGAGGGCCCTGGTTTAGATGGGGTTTATGCCATTTACCATGGAAACCCATCGATTTTTCCAAAAGGCCACCTCTGCAGGGAAGTTTGTTTTGCGCGGAAGGCCCCAGTTGGAGGCACCGCCCGCCGCCCGCTGGTCTCCGCCAGGCGGGCGCACAGCCTCTGCTCCTGGAGGCTCTGTCCACGCGCCTGGCGCGCTATGAGGCGGTGGACGGCGTCGAGGCGATTGAAGCGGCGGCGCGGCCCTCCACACGAGGCAGGGGGGGGGGGTTGGTCGGTTGGGGCTCAAGCTGGGGGATGTCAGAGGTCGGTTTTTCCAAGTCCCCCCCCCCCCCCCCCAAAAAAAAAGGAGGGAGGATCCCAAGAGTTCTTCTCTTTTTGAGTCTTTTATTGACCACAGATGCCACGTCCAGACAGTTCTTGGAGTCGCCAACTTGAGGACTTGTTCTGTGGGTTCAATGTTAGTTTGCAGAGCTGCCAGAAAGGGGGCAGTCTCGTTTGGGATGCTAGGTGGATTTATTGTCTTGTTGCTTGGGGTGGGCATTGTTTGAAAATTCAAGGAAGTAGTTTTATGTTTGCCAAGTCACAGGGGAGAATCGCGAGATTGGGAGCCAAGCCCACGTGAACAAACAATCGGATAGAATCGGGAGAAAGCTCAAAGATAGGTTGCCGATTTGGCCAAGCCGGCTTGAGACATATTGGATTTTGGTGATGGAGCCAGCTGAGATGTTGCTTGAGCTTCCAGGACCACATCAACAGACCATCTAACCTTCAAGTTTTGAATCCGAGAAGCTCATGCTTTTTCTTTGGTTGAGCCTCTTGGATACCTCGGAGACAATAATACATGTAGAAAGGAAAGAAGCGATTGCAACGTGACATTGTTTTGTTGCCAGCGATTCATGTGTGTGTGTGTGTGTGTGTTTGCTCAGAAGACATTCAGCATAGCCGGACATTGTTTAGTAGCTGGCGATTCATTTGCGTGTCCATATTATGACAGCCAGCGTAGCCAGGCGCGTGTATTTCTGAAGCCTATTTCTCTTGACCAACATACCAACATGGGTAATACTTTGCAATCATCTGATTCAAGCTCGGTATTCCTTGCCTTGAGTTGCTTTGTATGAAGTTCGAAAGGCCAGCAGCAGCTCATAGCAAACCTGGCACTCGCCAGGCCGAGCTCGAGAGCCATCGGCGGAGCCAGCGGAGCCGGAGCCGGCGGTGCCGCCAGCGCCCGAGGCGCCGGCGCCGCCGGAGCTGCCCGCGCCGCAGTCCCCGGCAGCGACGATGACGCTGGGGCGAGGCGTCCCGCGGGCGCGGCCGTTTTGGTGTCCCCAAGCGGACACAGACGTGAGAGCAGCTTCGAGAGGTTGGGAAAGGAAATGTGGTGGGATCTACTGCGGCATCTCTTAGAATGAAATGGCAGTTGCATGAAGCAGCAGATTGCAGCGAATTTGTGGGGGCTCGAATGGGCATGCGAGTTGGGGGGCTGCAGTGCTAGGACATGTTTTGAGATGGCTATTGCCAAGGACTGAGATTGGAAGTCTTTTCCACTCTCAGATCGGCTCATCTATGACTTTTTTGACACGCTAGCTTATCAGATAATACACCAAGCTAGTCAACTAGTCTTTTCAGTCGACATTGACTATTCATCGCTAATTCCCAGACTTGATTCCTCTTTGATGTATTTTGAGAGATTCAACAAACCCATGCCTAATTTTGGCCTTTTTTCACCCATTCCTGCAAGCGTTTCCTTTCCGGGGAAGTTTGGGCCGCAGTCGCTCTTGTGATCCTCTTGGCCATGCCACCAAAACTTTCAGCCATGCGGCAGGAACCGGCACCGTGCTCTTCCCTTGCGCCTGCGGTGAGGGCGCGACTGGGGCAGAGGGGCTGGGGGAAGATTGAGGTTCCCCTGTCACTTGGAATACCTGAGGCCACGCTTGGCTGTGGTTTCTCTTTGATCAACGCGGGCCGCGGCGCAGAGGTGTGCATGAGGAGTGTTGTTTGCAGAATGGCCTGTTGTTGAGGACATCGTTTCAAAGCGTCAACAGCTGGGTGGACCCAGCCGCCGCAAAACTGCAGCCCGGATGTTCAATGGAACTCATTTACAGTGTCCCAGTCATGGTCATACGAGTCAGATGTCGTGCCACTCGGGATGTCCCGAACCCCCGACCTCTCCGGCCAGGGCGCATGCAGCTGCGGCAGGCGGAGGGGCGGTGGCTGGCAAAGTGCAACCGCCTCGCCAGCTGCGGCCGCGTCTTGTGGCTCCCGCCCGGCAACCCAGTGCGCAGAAAAGGCGGAAGGGGATGTGGCGATGCCTTTGGGCCTTTGTTCGTCCTTTTCGGGCTGCCTGGAATTTAGGGTGTGCCTCAAAATTAAAATTACAAGGCTAGGGTTACGCAGGTTTTAGTCTTTGGTTCCACTTAGCAAAGTATTGCATGTTGTTGAGCCACAGCCGTTTAGCATCAAGAGGGCTGCTTGGGTGTGTCTTGTATAGCGAAAGAGAGAGAGAGGCAGAGAGAGTTGCGAGGCCACGGGCCAGACTTGACAATCTGTGGATGTTGGTTGATTGGCACCAAGCTGTAGAAAGCAAATGTCCAGTTACTTGGGTTGCCAACTCGCTGACGTGATTTGTCGGGGTGTTGAAGGCACAATGGAGTTGGCTTGGCCTAAACAACTCCGTAGGCATCTCAACAGGCTGCCACAGAAAGAGCGCTTTGCCCTGCTGGCATTGACCTCTCACTGAGCACCCAGAAGAACAAATTGGTCAGCACGAGGCAGGGTCGACCTTGAGCCAAGGCCTCTACCTTTTCCGAATCCGGTCAGTCAATGTCAGGCAGAGCCACAATGATTTTGCCGCACACCAGATATGCATGTAAAATAGTTGTATGTGTATATTCCTTCATCCGTGGCACTTCCCTCGTTTTTTTGGATCACCAAGGACCAGCGTCATGGGAGCCGCTGTGGACGGCCACTGCGCGGTGTGCGCCCTGCGCTTGGGCGGCGAGGCCGGCAGTTGGCCCGTCCCGCTGCCCAAGTTCATATCCCTGCCCGGCCGATCAGATGCGTGCATCGGTTTTCACGCAGAAGCATCCCCATATTAATATGATTGATAGGTATAGTATCTATTGTCTAGAGTCATAGCAGAAGCAGAAGCATCCTATATTATTGATAGGTGTAGTATCTATAGTCTATACTGTAGTAATCGTACTTAGTTTACTTCAAAACTGTGTGAGAGATGTTTGATGCGGCTGATGATGCAAATCATTTTGGAAGGGTCAGGCTGCTTAGAGGTCTTGATGCTGATGTGAGGTGCGCACTCTGACGGTGCGCTTGAGCCGCGACCAGCTGAGAGCCTTGCGGAAGCTGCCGCAGGGGGTGGACACCATGCCCGGGCCCCGCATCGAGGGGAGGAGCGAGAGAGGGAGGGCGTGCGAGTTGATGTGGTAGGGCTTTGAGGGTCTCCCAGACTTGCAGAGTCTTCATCATGACCGATAGTAGATCTGTTCCTCGCTTGCTTGAAGAAGATCTCCAAGCTGCTGTTCAAACATTGTGAACCACATTTCAGCCGTACCTTGTGAAAGGGAGCAAGCAACAGCTTAGACATCAGACTCAGCCCAATCAGCCGCATGACCGCACCACTCCTTGCCGGTCATCGAATCCTCACGTCGCCTGTGACTATTCCAGACAAAAGAAAGGCCTCGAAGGCCAGTTTTTCACTCTTCCTTCCAATGATTTCTTGACATGTCATGACACTGTCCCCCACCAGCCAGCGGGCCAGCGATGTGCCGATTGATCACATGCTCCCAAGGACGGCGGCTCAAGCCCTCATTGTTCCATGTCTCTCAGATGCCGCAGTCTCTGACCAGTCACTTGGCCAGCATAGCATTGAGGCGTGGCTTGTGCGTCGCTGGCTGCAATGACATGCTGTCGCTCCTGGCCTGAAGACGTGCCTGAGGCAGAGAGGAAGGGGCGTGCCAGGAAAAGGTTGGCCTTTGAAGGCAAGGAAATAAGCAGGCAGCCAAGCCCATCACGCCCTAAAGACCAATGCCCAGATACTAGACAGTGGCGCAATGTTTCATGCATCATCTTTTTATTTGAGGCAGTTTGCAGCGAGATGCCAAGCGGAAAGTAGAGAGCAACCAACCCATAGGTATAGTACTGATTCGCTACATAATTCTCCACAGGTAGCAAGCTGAGCACAAACTGAAAGGAACATGTACAAATTCCTCATGGGTTCGAAGGCGCTTCGCATGCAAAGGGCATGCGGGAAGGACCCATTTGAGCGTCTTGAAGCTGTGGGAATGTCGAAGACATGGCTACTGCTTCTGTGCCAAAGTCGGCGTTCACGGTTGACCTGACCTGTGATTGCCCCGGCCACCTGAATACAAGGACGGCTAGCATTGCTTGCATGGGTAAAGACGAGCGCGGTGGATTCTGTGCTTGTTGCAGCCTGGAGAGGGCAGGAGTTCGGAAGACTCCATGCTGTAGGCCTGCATGCTTGCAAAGTGTGGGAACGGCAGCTTTGTTCTTAGCATGACAGCTACGATAAGAACGAACGAAGGGGTGCTTGAGACACACGGAGCATTTCCTCCTGTTCCACGCACAACAAAACACGGATGTCGAAATTGCTGCGCCATCACTCAGAGTTCAGCAGTTCGGATCCAGTTGGCCTGTCCCGTGCCTTTTGACACGTCGAGGGACCAATCCTAGGTTAAGGTTATGAATCCCAACCCACATTACAAAGGCTTGTGGCATTTGTTTGATTTCAAACCTTCGGCAATTGGCAGGTTTTGAAGAACGCGTTCCTGTCACAGGCTTCATGAGCAGATCCAGACATTTCATGTTTCAGCAATTAATGCAAACCACTGTGCTCCTGGAGGGATGCACGATTTGTTCCGATGGTTTTGAAGTGGCCCTGTTGGCACATCAATTGTACGCGTGCCAGTATCATCACTTTCAATTGTTTGATCGTTTTTTTATTCCGCCAGTGGCGCTCATTGCTTTCATCCAGCGAGCTACCATCTTGCCGAAGACAGATCGGTTCTTCAAGATTAGGGACACCTAAACATATGAGCTTTGGATGTAGGCATGCGTGGTGCATTTGGTTTGCCTTCGTTTGGGGTCCCGCTGTTTTGCACAGGAGTTCGAATCTTAGACCAGTATTGCTTCCTGATTGAAAGCACCTCAGAAGGGTTCCTTGATTGACCGTGTTTTTCCATCCTGCGCTAACATGCACCTCCATTCAAGCTTTGAAACTGACTGACTGTTTCATTTGTACCGCCCAGTTCCCTCTCCACTGTTGCCTTTGTGGCCTGCAAGCCCAAGAGAATCATCTGCATCCTTGCCTCAATACTTTGAAGTGAGCAGCCATGATCTCTGGTTCTGGGGCCCCTTCGGGTGGCGTTTAGAGTGCCCTTTTGTTCCAGCTCTTGCTGTGGAATCCCTATGGACACCTGCTAAGTGCCAAGAACGCAAGCATGGATCACCAAGAAAAGGTGCGTAGCAGCATGGGAACGTGCCAACAGTAGAGATTCCGCTCGTTGGAAGTTGTCAGAACCGCAGGCAGAACTATTTGCAGAGGTACCCATTCTCCAGACATAGCCAGCTGCTGCAGCAGAAACAAGCACAAATACAGCACGTGCAACACGTTCAAGTGTCAGCACTGGAGCGATGAATGGATATGCTTTGGGAGCGCGTGGACGATGAGACGCCTCGCTTTAGACTCAGGAAGCCTTCAGACTTGGGCGGTTGAATTCTCAGCGTGCTGTATGTCAGGGGCCTTCAAGCAGTACCGCACCAGCAATTCTGTCAGTAAGCATCATGCTTGCACAGAGCAACCCTTGTAGTCTTTGATTTGAACCCGTAGTGAGGTTTTGAAGATGAACCAGGCTTCTCAGAGTACAAGAACGTTGCCTCAATCATATGCTGACCACTTGCTCTTGAGCGCATGCATCATGAGTCATGAGCTGCCCAAATGCAGACACCAACGAGCGACCGATCGCAGATTCCATGGGTTGTCAACTGCACTCGCCTTTTTCTTCCCGGGTTGCCAGTGTTCTTTCATGAGGCTCTTGAATCATGAGGTCCAACCTGGGTTCGGCAGTTTGACAAGCAAGGTGCCGGATGCTGCTTTTGTCAACCGCTTGGCTTTTCGGCCTAGGTGCGAAGAGCGCAGACAAGGCGACCGAGGCAGGGTCGATCGCTGAATCGCGTGACCGTGTTGGCGGCAACAGTGCCCCTGACGGCCAAGACAGACTGGAGACTGAGAGTAGAGCATCGCGAGAATATTTTCCGATCGAAACAGTATTCACCCCTCAAAGAGGAGTGGATTCTGAAAGTGGAATTTCCGGCGTTTGTGAGACACGCGAGATCTTCATGGTCTGGGTAGTTGAGCATGTTGAGGTGCTGCTGTCAGCCATTTACATCCCTTCCCGCATGCAAGTGATCACAAGCAGGAAGACATAACGCCAGTTGCCGGCACAATTTGCTTGGGGCCTTGGGGGGGTGGTGAGTTTGGGCGGGTTTCGGGCATTTGCAGAGTTGACGGATCTGGAAGGCTTGGCTTTGAAGTGGGTCTGCGACTGTGGAGGTTTTGGGGACTTTGGAGGGTCTTTGGAGGCGGCTTGGAGGGTTTGGGGCTTTTGGCGAACAGGTGTCAAAGGGACAACACCCAAAGAAAGGGCTCGGTTTGTCGCGCCCTTCCGATCCAAACAACGAGCCATGTTGAATTGCCTCACTTCATTTGCGCCTCCTGCGTGGCAAAAACCCCCTCACCTGCCAGGAGCTGCGGTCGCGCTTGCAGGAGCTGACCGCCGACGAGCTGCCAGGGCGCCTGGATGTGATCCCTGGAGCCCATCTTCCGCTTGATCGGTTTTACAGTTGCCCAAGTCGTGTGTTTCTTTGGCTCGGTTTTCAACTCCGCCGTTTGAAGCCGTCACCCCTTCGCCTCGGAACTACAGCAACACCCGCCTCGAACTACGGCAACTATGCGGTGCTGGAATGTCTTAGGAAGGACCATTCGCTGAGCGCGGATGCCAAGTTAGAATTAGTTGAAGTACCAATTGCTTTTGTTTGGCGTGTTTCCGAAAGGAGTCAACAGGATAAAAGGGTGTCCTCTTTCCGATGCGCCAATTGTCGTGATCCAACCGAAGACAAGACACCTCTCCTGTTTGATATGTCAAGCATTTTCGCAGTGGGCCTTTCTCCTCAATGATGTGTTCCAGGTTCATGTAGTTCATATTTTGATGATCATTGTTGGTAGGCTCAGACATGCTGAACCACTGAAGGTGGGTTGAGGCATGTCATGTGCAACTTGCATGACAGCAAGGAGAAATTACTGGCATCACAAGGTTTATTTGTCGAAAATCATGGCTTTAACAAGGACGGCCCATTCTTGCTGCTTCCATGCCCTCTTCTGTCTCGCTTGAGAGCAGCCAACAGATTGTGAACATAGAACATGAGTCAATGTCGCATGCGCTGAGAGTGCACGTTTGCAGTGGTACCCAGGGATAGACTGGGAGAGTACTTAGGTGACATGCTTGTTCCTTAAGAAAGATAGGGTCACGACCTTCAACCCAATTTGCTGCTTTGGTTCCTGATCCCCGATCAATCTCCTTTCCCATACTGGCCCCGTTGCTTCGCCCAGGAAGCGACGGCTCCGGTGCGCCGGGGCGGCGTGCCAGAGCTGGACCATCAAGGACCGCCTAGCCAGGGCGCCCGGTGGGCAGGGATCACGGGCGATTGAACACGGCTGCTTGTTTGATGGTTTGGTGGCTCGATCTGGGGATTCGGGGTATTGGAGCCTTGTTTCCTTTGAGGGGGATCGCATGGTTTTCACAAAAAACCGGGGAATCTGCAACCCTACGCAGAAATCCACACAGCCAATCCAAAAAGCCACATAAGTTGAGTGTTGGGGTAGCACTGCGGGTTGGTCTCGGCCTCGAATTCGAGCTTTATGCCCGGCAGGGGCTTTGGGGCTCTGGGCAAAGAGCCACCGGAGCTGAGAGATTTAGAGGCGACCCGCCCAAAACGAGCTGCAGCCAAGTAAACCCAACTGGAGTCCTCAACCACGACATCTACGGGCCATGCCAGAATCCACCCCATGTTGACATGCCAAGGTTGACAAGCTTGTGCAGCTGAGTCAGCAGGTGCCGACGGGATGAAGCATCCAATGCCATGAATGTCGGGTTGGGAGCTTTGGTACTTCTCAGATACTTGTCAAGAATGCCATGGCTTCTGTTGCAATCAGCTGATGACACGTGCAAAACATGTCAATGTTGCATGTAATTGTTGCTTCTCGATGAACTGTGCAGGGGGCACTTGTTTTGACACACACACACATGCATACGATCACCATGGACTAGCATGGCAGCTTTTGATGCAGGTGCCAGCTCGAGATCAGACAGGCGGGGTCGGGTCGGAGATTCCGCACAAGGAGCGCTGGGAGTACGATAGGTGTGCCTTCACTTTTGGCATAACATCCGTGTGCGCCGAAAAGGGTTTGATGCAACGTTGCCAACAACATGTCAATTTAAAACAGAGGGGGGAAGGACAACGGCACTGCCAGGGCCATGGACATGTTGAATGGTGGAAGACAGGGAACGCTTCTCGCATCTTTGGAGTTAAGGGCAATGGGTGTCCCTGTTTTGCGGGTGTTGTGGAGCGGTTACTGCTAGAATTCGACAGCTGCTCAAATGTTGAACCTGAGTGATCTGTAAAGCTGCGCCCTGGCCACTCACTGCAACACATACAGTCCTGCCAACAGTGTCGCCCATCGCTTCGTGGCAAGCACGGTTTCCTGCTCATGGGGGACCAGAGAATCATTTGCCCTCTCCTGGAGCGTGTTTCGGGCGAGGCAAAGGTGTGGACTACTCTAAGTTCGAACACATCGAGGACCGTCACAGCATCTGCCGAAAGAAACTTGCTTGATGAGAGGAAGATGG